ATATCTACTGTTACCGACAGAAAGTTCCTAGAGAATTGTAAAACAATGAAATTTCATTGTTTTGTTGAATTCACCACAATTCTCTAGGAACTTTCTGTCGGTAAAAGTAGATTTCTTTTAGTCCATTCCGTCCATTTAAACTTTCCACTTCATTTATTCACATGGTAAATTCAGTCGCGCTTGTCAAACTTTGCTTTTACCAATTTTTAACAAATATTCACTGCTTCTTATCGAAATCGGCATTTTTACATTCCAGGACAATTGTGCTTTCAATTTATAATGTGTACTCTGCTCATGTAATTTTAATTTTAATGCTAAAATAAGACCGTATTCGGCGGATGAAAAAAAGATTGAGTCAAACGTCCCAATACGGTTTTTACTCGAATCCGTATTGGCTCAGAGCTTCACTCAATTCCTAAACGCTCCACTCAATACTTCTTTTTTTACTGGGTTACCAAGTGAGTCAAATCATTAAATATTTCTCACTGTTTTGACATAGCTGCGTCAAGCGATAGAACTTCCTTCATTTTTTTTTTAAATTTAGTTCTACAGAATTGTTGACTAAAAGTATGAAAAATTCATATTTTCAGATTTGAATTTGAAACCTTTTCAAAATTCAATTAATTCTAAAAATTTATCCCATAATCCTTCTAATATTCAATTAATATTTAAAACTTTAATTGAAATTCATTTTGAAATGAATTAATATTAGAAAATTCTACGAGAATTCTACACGGAGAGAGATTTTGTATTAATATTTGTTAAAATTGGCAATAGAATTTAATATATTCTTTTTCAATTTAGGGAAATCGTGTTTTATATTAAAAATTAATATTGTGCATATTAGTAGGCAGCCCTTGATATATTTTACAAAAATTAATAAAATTGTAATACAATTTAATAAAAGAATTATAATTTTTAAAAATGACTATATTAAAATCGCAGTCCGTGAAAGTATCGAAAGAATAAGAAAAATTGAAATAGTTCTTTTAAATTTTAGAATAAAATACATATTTCAATCTTTAATATAGTCAATACTAAAAATTATGAGTGAGTCGAAAAGGACAGGAAATAAAAAGACGTAGGAAGGAGGAGGATAGAATTATCGTTTCGAAAGTATTTCGCACACACACCAATGAGCTAACGCAAGCATCATACTATACATCATACTATACAAACACAAACTATATACAATTTCGGAGATCTATGTTAAAACCTATAAACGCATACATATAAACTTAACTTAAATACAAATAAACGCAATAACGCACGCACGCTGTACATTGGGAGATACAGTTCTCAACTTCCTTATATACTAAACTCGAGAAATTTTCTGAACTTGTGAGAAAGTGATATTTTCTCCATATTTTGTTTAAAAAAGTTCTTAATTTATTTTACATTATAAATACATACTTTTGTATGCTGGGTCAAAATTTTATTCAGAAATGTTTATCATAATACTGTTTTTAAAATTGTTTGTTTCTGGAAAATGATTTCTATTGAAATTATGTCCAATTTTTCGTTATATAAAAAAACCCATCATTTACTTTATTGGCATAAGAAAATGCAGCATATCTTAAATCATTTTTTTTAAATACCTTCCAATGTCCTAATTCATTTTCGTACACGGAAAAAAATTAATATCTAAACTTGAAATAATATTAATTTGAAATCAAATGGAATGTAAGTATGTCTAAAATAGACATTATAGTCACAATTAAATTCACATCTCTGATTTAGAGATTTGTTAATTTCACAACTTATCTGATGTGAATTACATTGCGTTTTAAGTTCATCATTGTCAAAGAATATTTAAACCATTTTAATTATTTAAGTATTAATTTTATATTTTAAATGCAGTTTCATTTTCAGTTTTCACTTTCCATATTTTACAAATGTTTTTCGCGTTATCACGTGTGGGACATATTTTTATTTATTAGTATTTTCAGGTTAAACTTTCGTTTGACACTTGAAAACCTAACCTATATTGAAAGTTGTACCAAACCATGTTTTTTTATTAAGAAATAGAAAAAGAATGTTTATATTGTGTGATGTTGAGATAATTTGATTCAAATAAAGAAATGAAATAATAAAAAATTCATATTATCTTCAAAAAATGTCCAATTTTTTATGATTGTCAATGGATTTGTTTATAAGTTCATACTAAAAGAAAAATATACATTCTTTGAATAATTCTCACTCTAAATTGTGATAAATCATAAAATTTGAGATTTCTAATATCATTTTCAGGCATAAAAATACGGATTCTTCACACTGATAATATATGCGGATTAGATATAACTCTAAATTTCAGTTTTAGAGATCTGTTCAAATCACACATCCGATTCCAGTGATAGTTTATGCCTAAATCTCATATTAAATCTCTAATTTAGAGATTAATTTTTTTCCGTGTAAATTTTGAATGCTCTCAAATGCTCATTTAAAAGACAATGGACTATGCCTTTTACTACAATTAGGAAATCTTCATTGTCGATTAAAATTATTGAATGAACAAAATAAAATTGTTCACCCAATTCCGACACATTTTGACACATCAAATTAAAATATTTTGGGGTAAACACAACGTGCACATGTTGCCACGAGGTTTGACTCGGATAATTTCGGAACTGCTCGACTGAAATATTCGGCTAATCTCGGACAGCTTCGTAACCGCTCTACGTCAGCCTGACGTCAGCCCATAGCCTGCTATGGCCTGCTACTAGGCTGGTCATAATTTTTATTATAGTCGATAATACTATTCGTAACTAAATTAACAACTTATGTAATTCTTCGATAGTATTTAGTATAATCATCTGGTAATACTTTTTACTATTGCATACTTTCTTACTTATAATATTACAACTTCTTATTGACTATTTCAATTTCTATTACTTCAGAATAATACAAAGTAATAATTTGATTATAAACTTTCTTAAAAATGGTAATATTAATTCATAAATGTACATGATTTCCCCAAATTGCAATCGGTTTTACTAAATACTAATATAATAATACGAAATATTAAAACAGAATCTCTCTCCGTGTATTATTTAAATACAAAAATAAATAATTAATTGAATAATTAAATGTTTCTTAGAATTGAGTTCTCACAAAGAATTTTATCAACAAATTTTTAAATAGGTAATAATTGAGTTCTTCTGACAAGTTTTAGCAACATTTTTAACAATAATTGCATTCTTCGAGTATTAAATTTTTTTTGTACTAAAAATATTTCAAGTTCTGTGATGAGTTTTATTACTTATGAAGATAATTGAATCCCTGAAAAGATCTAATTTTAATATTTATGAAAATAATTTAAATATGGCTAATAATTTTATAAAAAATTTTAAATATTAATTGATTTTTTCGAAAAAATTAATGCAAATTCTGTTTTAAATAATTAAATTTCTGTGGAATTTTTATTATTTATGAAAATAATTAAAAGTTTGCGTAGATTATTATCAAAATTTTTTTTAAATTTAATTGAATTCTTTTGCAGTTTTCTTCTCCCCTGACGGAATGTCCAGGCAAATGCGAGTACTCCTATATTTCAAGTTGGCTGAAGTCGCAAAGGTAGGGGCCCTAAGTGTTGTGAGTTGGAAAAGTTGAGATGAGATGTTGAGGAGATTGCAAAAGCCGAAAGGCATACAATGAAAAATCTTACTTTAACTTTAATTGAATTCTTTTCCGAAATTGTAGTAAAATATTATATACGAAAAATCATTGAATTCAGAAAATTTTTTGAAAATACATAATTAAATTTCGGCAAGAAATATTGCTATTTATAAAAATAATTGAAATCTTGACGAGTTTTAAAAAAATTTTTGAAAATAATCCAATTTCTGCAAAGAATTTTATTACTTTTGAAAATAATTTAATTTTTGTGATAAATATTGTTATTTATGAACATTATTGAATTTTAAAAAGAATTTTATTGACAATCCTAAAAATAATTGAATTTCTGGGAAGAATTTTGATGTTTATCAAGATACCTAATTGAATTCTTTCGAAGAATTGGGTTTAAATTTTTGAAATCATGTTAAATATTATTAAAAAATTCAACTAATTTTAATAGAATTTAAATTAAAATTCTTGGAAAAAATTAGATCTACAGAATTGTTAATTAAATGTATAACAAATTCAGATTTTCAAAGATTTTAATTTGAAATCTTTCCAAAATTCAATTATTTGTAATTTCTCCAAAATTAAATTGTTTTTAGTGTTTTTAACTATTATTTTTAACAATTTATTAAATATACATTGGACAATTTAGTTTTTTAAGGAATTTTAGGGTCACTGAATACAAATTTAGTAATGTTATTTTTTTTTTATTTAATTTTTACTGAAAGTATTGGCAGTGACCTTTAACTGATGCTGATCAATATGCAAAAGAGAATTTTAAGAAAAAGATGTAAATAATGATCTCAAGACAATTAGAACGGATGAGGAAGTTAAGAAAAAGAAGAGAAAAGGGCAGAGACAAAAGAGATACGGGAATTTACGTGAGAGAAAAGTTAACTCGTGGGATAATTCTGAAATAGGAGTTCATTGTTATTTCGAGGTCGCAACTCGCAACTACATATCTCGCCGCCTTACTTGTATTTAAAAGTTCTCGTTACGAGCATTATCTTATTATTTACATACAAGTATTATATACACATGTATATTATTTTATGATTACTATTGCTTTATATTGTGAAAGCCAGAGTGAATTCCATTTTCTTTAAAGTAATAAAAGAAAGAAATCAAATTTTACCGCGCGGTATGCGCAACTGCAACTATTGCGCACAGCTTTTGCACCATTTCATTATATTTTTCTTCAAAAATCCATTAATTAAATTAACCTCCTATTTAGAGATAAATTTAATTATGTATTTCAAACTATTCAAAATGTAGATTTTTAAATTTAATATCGAATTCAGTTTAGAGATTCTAAAAAAAGGGTAAAGTATTATAATATATGCGCCAAATTGTATATTCAATATTTTCTAAATATTTACCTTTGAAGACATCGCTGTTGAATCGAGACAAGTCATTATGAGCAATACTGAGGTAGAGTAAGTTCTCCATACCAATGAGGGCACCGTCTTCCATATAAGACATTCCATTATGACTAAGATCTAATTTAAATAAAGATTCAAGAGTGGAAAAAGCACCACGAGGTAGTGAAACTGTAAAGAAAACAAAAGGAGTAATATACCGTTATATTAGTATAATAATATAAATAAACTGAACATTCAATCATTCTTTGCAAAATGTAAATGGTTAAGGAGGTTCTCCGGCCATGTCAAAAAGCGAGATATTGTGGTTGACATTTTTCATTTTTAACATAATCGCATGTACAAGTTAAAGTTTCTACTTGAATAACTCAAAATTTAGCATCGTAAAGGGTTTTCAAATTTTTACCACATTTAAGGGGCGAAACTACATTAGACGTCTGAAAAAATCGATTTTTTTTCTTTCCCAGTGGGAAATTTGCAACCGGCGCGGATCCTCGCCTGTACCGACGCCGGAGTAGTGGTACTGGCTGGGAACCGCCTGCCTACCGCCCGAGAACTGGTATTCTACCAAAAGATGACTTGGCCAGGAGCTGGCTGGCCATCCGTCTCGGAACTGGCATTCTACCGCCCGGTAACCGGCCGCGAAGAGCCGTTCCGTGTATAATTCAACCGGCTGGGACCCGGCACTGTACCGACTGCGGATCTTTCATTTCCTAGCCAGATGTGCACTGGCAATGCTGGCATTCTACCGCCTGACAACCGGCTCGGATCCAAATGATAATTTCAACAAATATCAATAAAAAATAATAATTAATTGCAAAAGATAAATACGGATGACAATTCATTGATAGTTCACTTTACACATTTTTTTATACACTTAACGGTATTTTTTTATATTCACATTTGAAAAATCCTAACGCTTGGGGGTACGAACCTACGCCTAACCGAATATGTACGCACCGAAATCACGCACGCTAAACACTATGCTACGCTCGCATGGAACTCTCAAATCTTAAATGCTTTCAAGTCTCACTAGCTAAAATGAAAATTGTAAAATTACTACGCGGCAATAAATAATAAAATATTTTAATATTTCGTTTAAAAAGGAACTTGTTAAAATTGTTATTTTATTATTATATTTTTTAATATTTTATTACGTAATTATTAATAATTGAATGAAATTTGAATGCACAACACATTTTTTTAATTATTTAATTTGCAGAAAAGTGTCAATAAATAATTACTTAATATATTGTTTAAATTAAAAAGAGATTATTAATTAATTAACAATAAATTAATTAATAATCTGTTTTTTATATATTTATTTAATGTGTTATTGTGTTATTTATTGTAGGTATTATTATATATTGAACACATTTTCTTTCAAGTTACCCAGGCGGAAATTTCCAACCGGCGCGGATCCTAGCCCGTACTGACGCCGGTGTAACTGTACTGGCTCGGAACCGCCTGCCAACCGAATGTGAACGGGCATTCTACCGAATAGTGACTAGGCCAGGAGCGCGCTGGCAACCGGCTCGGAACTGGCATTCTACCGCCCGCTGACCGGCCGGGAGAAGCCGTTCCGTGTATAAGTCAACCGGCTGGGACCTGGCACTCTACCGACCGCGGATTTTTCATTTAATAGCCAGCTGAGCGCTGGCATTCTACCGACTGACAACCGGGTCGGATCCAAATGATAATTTCAACAAATATCAATACAAAAAATAATAATTAATTGCAAAAGATAAATACTAATGACAATTCATTGACAGTTCAATTTACACAATTTTTTTATACACTTAAACGCAATTTTTTTATTACATACACATTTGAAAAATCCTAACGCTTGGAGGTACGAACCTACGCCTAACCGAATATTTACGCACCGAAATCTCGCACGCTAACCACTATGCTACGCTCGCATGGGACTCTCAAATCTTAAATACTCTCAAGTGTCACAAGCTGAAATAAAACTTGTAGAATTACTACGCGTCAATGATACCGCTATATTTTCAATACTTTATTGAATGTATATTTAGGACTATTTCAATATTTCGTTAAAAAAGAAACTTGTTATATTTTTATTATTATATAATACATATATTGAATAATTGTTTTTCAATATAATAATATTGAACGTAATAATATTAATAATTTTAATTAACATCTCAATAATAATAAATTTATTATTATTAAGATATTATTAATTAATTTTATATATTATTAATTAACATTAATATTATTGAGAATTAATAATAAATTATCAATATTAATATTAATTAATAATATATCAATAACCATAAATTTATTATTATTGAGATATTAATTAAAATTATTAATAATTACCTTCATTATTATTATATTGAGAAACAATTATTCAATTATTATTGAGATATTATTAATTAATAATATATAATATTAATTAATAACGAATTTTTCTAATTATTTAATTTTTAAAAAGTCTCAATAAATAATTACTTAATATATTGATTAGATTCATTTATTAATAATTATTTTCTAAAATAATGCAATTACTTGTAATAATTATTTAATTTATAATGTGACAATAAATGACGAGATCCGCAGTCGGATCCGCCCCAGTACCGAGCCAGTACAGACTAAACATATTCGTCATTCTTCCGACGCCGCAGAAGAATAAGATCCGCCGGCGGAAGAAATCCAGTACCGAGCCGGTACTGACAATAGTGGGAAGACGGTTCCGACAGTCGGAGCATAATCTGTACCGCGCCGGTTGCTTTTTCAGATCCGAATCGGTACAGACCGTCGGTACTTGCGGTCTGTACGGGCGCGGATCCCAGCCGGTTGTAAATTCCGACATTCGTCCGACTTTTCCGCCTGGGTATAATATTATTATTTATTGAAAATTATTTATTTAATTGCACATTAATAAAGTTGGATTTTTATAAATATAATGAAAAAATTAAGTTTCTTATATTCTTCCTTTGCATCAATACAATTAATTTATTTATTGGTTAAATAATAATAATAATAATAATATTATAATAAATGCAATTAGTTATTGTAATAATTAATTAGCTATGATATATATAACTAGCTGTCGTACCCGTCTTCGACGGGTTTTAGTTTCTACCAATACATTTAACAGTGTGTCTACCAATTTGGAAAATAAGGAAATAGCTCAGGAATTTAATTTGACCGGAAAAAAATAATAATTAGTTAGGTACCATTATAGCTATTTCAGTAGGAAAATATTACTATTTGAATCAGTGATTGACTTTTTATTATCAAATTAGTTATTTTAACCAATTCAAATGCAGAGAACAATATTTGTCAATTTGTAGTACTTTAATTAATGCATTAAAAATTTATCAAATTTCCCACCCAGTTTTTGGAGTTATAGTAGAGTCTAATTGGAACTAATTGTATCGCAAAGGTTACGACTGCTAAAACCTAACATAAGACCTATATTTTAGACTGAAAGTAGGGCTTAAATTTTGACCCGGGTCTGTTTTCATAAATATTATACATCAATAAAAATTAAAGTAAAAAGCAATTTTTTAAAAGCGAATTAATATAATGAAACTTTTTCTTAATTTGATTGGAAAATTCCCAGCTTTTTCCAGTTTTCCCCGTTTGGTAGTTACCCTGTTAAATGTATTAGTAGAAACAAAAAACTGTCGTAGACGGGTACGACAGCTAGTAATATAATCTATATTTTATATGAACTTAAGAAAGAGTATTTTCATAAAAATAAGTAAATTTTTATAGCCATTTGTAGATTTATTTATGGATAAAATCAAGTAAATTTAAATTTAACAAAAAAAAGATAAACCGTGAAAAAGGACAAAGCAGGAAATTTTGTTAAATAAAATAGACACCGTGTTAACTTTTGTCTTTACATTGCTCAAAACATCTCTAAAAGTTAAATCTAGAGTTAAAATAAAAAAAACGTTTTAACATATAAGTTTTTGCCTAGTGGCATATAATATGCTTGTATTGTATCAGAGGTGACTTACAATTTCTTGACATCCTGCAATATCATTTTAATCATAAAAAATTTGCATTTTCAATATTTCTGAAATTCTTGAAAATATTAGATTAATTTGATAAATAATTCTCAATTACACTATTTTTACGTCAAAATAATAATCAGAGACTCCAAAAATACTACTGAATTAAACTTCATAGTAATTAGTATCGATTTTTTGATATTGAAAATATTTTTATATTTACTTATAGGATAGTATTTTTTGCAAAATTATGCTAAAATCTGACTAAATAACATATAATATTGAATTTTAGAAAGTTTAAAAGCTATCCATTAAAAATGTGAAATTTGGAAATTTTCCATTTTTTGAAGTTTTTGAAAATATTTTTATATTTACATCTTAGTTATAGGATAGTATTTTTTGCAAAATTATTCTAAAATGTGACTGAATAACATGTAATACTCAAATATAGAAAGATTAAAAGCAATCCATGAAAAATGTAAAATTTTGAAATTTTTGATTTTTTGAAAACATTTGTATACTTACATATTAGTTATAGGACTTTATTTTTTGCAAAATTATGCTAAAATGTGACTAAATAACATGTGATACTCAAGTATAGAAACTTTAAAAGCAATCCATGAAAAAATTAAAAATTTTGAAATTTTCGATTTTTTGAATTTTTTGAAGAAATTGAATATCTCCCGTTCTAATTAATATTTTTTAAATCTGTAAATTTATAAACCTTCCTTGGGTCAATACCTAATAACCTACTAAGTTGGACTTAAATCGATTTACATGTTTTTGTGTGATTAGGGTACAAAGTTTTTGTGACAGACATACGTACATACATACGTACATACATTAAATTTTTTAAGAATATTTTTGGAATCCCTGATGTCCATAATAACTAATCATGTTAACATTTTGGAGTTTTAAGCAATGTACAGACAGACATCTGATTTTATTAATAAGGATAAAATAAATTTATGATTATGGGCAATTCTCTGGAACCTTTAACCTTTAGGTGTCTTATATTTATTATGCAATTACTCAAGATATATCAAATGTTTTATAAAAAGAATTATTGTTCCATGTAAAGAATGTTTAATAATATTAAAATATGTTAGTTTAAAAATTATTAAATTATGTTTAGTAATTAATATATATTTTTTAATGTGGAAAAGTAAGCAAATCACG